TGATCCTTAGAAACCTGCCTTCTTACTACAGAAACCCTCTGGAGAACAGAACAGCCTGGACGAATTTGGGTTCAGAGTCCTTGGGACCACATTCCTGCAGTAGGGCAGCTGGAATTCTGTCTCCGCTCTGAGCCGGATGAGACCAGGTGCCCAGAGTTCCCTCATGCGGCACCCATGCAGGATGCCGCTGGCACAGGGACCCCAGCAAAGCCCTCAGGGTCTCTGCCTTGTGACCGGCCCTACTCGGGATCAGGGCTACGGTGGGCATTGAAGCACAGGCCCAGCACTGCTTGCTTGCGCTCTCTCTCCAGGGTGCCTGCAGCGGGTCCCACTGAAACGCACATCCCTGTCCTCAGCTCTCTCTCATTGACTCTGGGTCTGTTTGGGGGGGGCACAGCCAGAAGCGCGTGGGGGCGAGGTCACATGGTGCTGGGGTTCCAATCCCCTGAGGCTTCTCCCTGGCCCCTCTCTCGTCCTCCCAAACAGTGGATTCCACCGAGGGTGATGCAGAAGGGGCGCTCGTTCCTTTGGGTTAGGTTTTGTCCCAGATTTCTTTTTTGTTGCTGCTGTTCAGAATGTTGATTTTATTTTATTATGGTTTTTTATTTATTTATTTATTTATTTTCAATTACCGTGAGATGGGCTGGAGCGATAGCACAGCGGGTAGGACGTTTGCCTTGCATGCGGTCGACCCGGATTCGATTCCTCCGTCCCTCTCGAAGAGCCCAGCAAGCTACTAAGAGTATCTTGCCCGCACGGCAAAGCCTGGCAAGCTACCCGTGATGTATTCGATATGCCAGAAACAGTTAACAACAAGTCTCACAATTTGTTGTGAGACGTTACTGGTGCCTGCTCAAGCAAATCGATGAACAACAGGAGGACAGTGCTACAGTGCTACTGTGAGATACAATTACAAACCTTTCCTGTTGGAGTTTTAGTCACACAATGATCTATCACCGATAGATCTATCTATCTATCATCTATCTCCCCCGCCTCACCCCTCCCCCTTCCTCTATGGCAGACTTGTCCTGACTTGGTCGTTGTTTTTGTTTGGCAGTGCTCAGGGCTGACTCCTGGCTCTGAACTCAGGGATCACTGCTGGAGGAGCCCAGGGGACGATGCGGGGTGCAGGGATGGGACCCTTGTCAGTCACACTCAGAGCCAGGACCTTTTCCCACTATCCTGTCTCGCCGGCCCTTGCCAGACCTACTGAAAGCGGATACTGGAGGGCACCCAGCAACATCCTCTGTCCTGTCCACGGCCTCTGGGTTTCCTTAGGGGTTACAGCCTCTGCCTGGCCAGCAGGAGCCCATGAGGGCAGACTTGGTGGGTTTGATCTGTTCCCTGGGAAAAGCGCAGCATGTCCAGTGAGGTCAGACAGATTGCAGGACCTTAGTGTTAGCCGAACAGATCGGTGACGGGTGGAAAACAGGTGGGGAGTGAAGGGAAAGCAGCGGGGCAGAAAAGGCCCAATCTAATCTGTGGGTGCGCCTCGGCAAGGAATGTGCGCTTGGGTGGGAGGTGGGAGGAGGCAGCATGGGGCGGAAGCAATCCAGAGCAGAGTTAAGGCCTGGCGCAGATGCGTGAGCATCCCCAGAAGCGCAGAGGGCAGCAGCAGCACAGCACATGGCGGAGACAGAGCGTCGCCTCCTGCGAGTCCAGGGGAGCATCGCCAAGTTTCAGGCCACAGGAAGTTATTCAATCTGGATTTTTGTTTGTTTGTTGGGGGGAGAGGGGAGCTACACGCAGCAGTGCTCAGGGCTTACTGCTGGCTCTGCACTCAGGAATCACTCCTTGTGTGCTTGGGGGACCGTACGGGATGCCGGGGATGGAACAAGGGCCAGCTGTGTGCAAGGGAAATCCCCTCCCTGCTGTCCTATGGTTCCAGCCCTCAAGCTGGATTTCTGAGGCACCTGGAGCTTTTCTTTAAGAATGGACTAAGGCTAAGTTAGAGGGAGAGACCACAGTGTATGGCAGAGGCAGGAGCGGGGACCCGGTGACAGCATTATGAGGAGAGAGACGTGGGCGGACCAGAGGATGCAGAGAGGAACTCTCCTGAGTGGTGTGAGAAGGACTGACGTTCCCAGCTTGAGAAACGAGGTGGGGAAAGGCCAGCACGCTTTTGGGTGTTCAAGGAGAGATTCAGGGTAGGACTCCACGGACTTCTGCCCTGGGCCTGTGAGTGGGCAGTGGGGCTCCGTGGACTCACTGGTGGCCGTCTCAGTGCCCCGACCCGGTGATGGTGGTGCAGAGGAAATGCAGACAGGGACAAGAGGCAGAAGAGTGCACAACCTGCAACCCAGACAGCTTTCCCAGGCCAGGGAACAGCCGGGGCTTAAGCTGGGACAGGGTATTAAGGCACTCTCCTTGCACTTGGAAGACTCGGTCCCGGAGCACAGCTGGGTGTGGCCAAGGACAAACCACAACCAAAAAAGGAAAGAAGGAGAAAAGGAACAGCTAGATAAACTGCTCAAAGTTCAGGAGAGTTATCTAGAACAGAAAAACAGATTTGAGATTTGACAAAGAGTAGTCACCAAGGATATAATTTAGGGGCCACAATGATAGTACAGCAGGTAGGGCATTTGCCTTGCATGTAGCCAATCCGGGTTCAATCCCCAGCATCCCAAATGGTCCCCCGAGCACTGCCAGGAGTCATTCCTAAGTACAGACCCAGGAGTAGCCACTGACCATCGCCAGGTGTGACCCCAAAAAGTAAAAAAAAAAAAAACAGGAATATAATTTAGATGGCCTGGGGCAAATGTGGCTGATGAAAGAAAATGTCCTACTCAGAATCCAGAATAAAGTCACTATTTAAGGGACAACAACTAGGCTCAAAGAGCTAGGGTGTAGGGTGCTTGGCTTGGCACAGATGACCTGGGCTTGAGCCTGGGCACCCCAGATGGCCTTCTGAGTGATCCCTGAGTATAGAGCCAGGATTCAGCCCTGCTAGATGTGGCCCAGAAACCAAAAAATAACAATAATAAAAATAAAGAAACAATACCCAAAATGAAAGGCCAGAATAATCAAAGGAACAGAAGTGGGTATTGTAACCAAGAGACTCACATATTCAAAATCTTACATTGGTCTCAGTGAACGGAGGACACTGCTGAGAGCCTTTTCCAGAGGAATTTCTGGAACTGAGACAGGAAGTCAGTCAGCACATTTGGTGGAGACAGAGACAAAGAGACAGAGAGACAGAGACAGACAGAGCAAAGCGTGATCACATGGCGGCTGGGTATGACACAGAGACACTGGGTGTCACAGCCAGGATTCTAGCATGACAGGAGAGGGATAGAGTTTTGGGACTCCCCTGGTTCTCTCCAAGGGGCTCTGCTGAGCCCAGGCATCAGCACACCTATAGTGTGAGCACTGTTAACAGCAATGGAAGACAAGGAAAAGCTGTGAGATGAGAGAGACAGAGAGAGACAGGGAGAGAGGAAGGAAGGGAAGGAGGGAGAGAGAGAGAGAAAGACAGGGAAGGGAGAGAGCGAGGGAGAGCAGAGTGAAGAACACTGGAGGTGACCCCTGGGTTGGCCGAGGGACCTTGGGGGGACGTCAGAGTTAGATCCCCGAGGACCGGCCGCACCTGTCCTGGTTGAGGGTGAGAGAGAAATGGGCGGACACAGAGCAGGGACTTAGCGTGGAGACAGGACAGGCCCCACGGCTGCGCTTTCTGAGATACGCAAGAGGCAAGACAGGCTGAGACTGACCTCAAAGCCTGGGTTCCAGTGCAGGGAGCCGGCTGCCCTCTGCCACCCTCGCTTGGAAGACCTGCTGGCAATCAGGGCAGGGGCCAGGCTCTGTGGGGTAACCCACCACCTCTCCCCACCAAGAGCACCTGGGGCCCACAGTGTCCCCCACACTCAAAGAACCCCGGGGCTTTAGTTTGGGGGACACACCTGGCCGTGCCCGGGAACCAGTCCTGGCTGCGTGCCCAGGGGACCAGGCAGTGCCAGGGGTCAACCCGGGCTCTAGCACACGGTCCCTCCAACCTAGCTCCCCCCAGCCCGAAGCAGCAGATTTTAAAATCAGGCTTTTCTGATGAACAAATAACTCTGAGGCTTCCCAGGCTTCTGGCTCTGGTCCTTGAGTGCAGACAATGTGGTATGTCTATTTTTTTTTTAATTGAACCACTGTGAGCTACAGTTACAAAGCTTTCATGTTTGGGTTTCATCATACAATGATCCAACACCCATCCCTCCACCAGTGCACATTCCCCACCACCAATGTCCCCAGTATCATCCCCAGTATCATCCCCAATCCCACCCCTCCTCCTGTTTTTATGGCAAACAATCTCCCCCATACTCTCTACTTTTGGGCATTATAGTTTGCAATACAGATACTGAGAGGCCATCACGTTGGGTCCTTTATCTACTTTCAGTGCACATCTCCCATCTCAAGCGATCCCTCCAACCATCACTGACTTAGTGATCCCTTCTCTATCCCAGCTGCCTTCTCCCCCAGCTCATGAGGCATGCTTCCAACCGTGGAATACTATGTAGCTGTGAGGAAAGAGGAAGTCATGAAATTTGCTTATAAGTAGATGGTCATGGAGAGTATCATGCTGAGTGAAATGAGTCAGAAAGAGAGAGACAGACATAAAATAACTGCATTCATTTGTGGAATATAAAATAACATAATATGAGACTGACACCCAAGGAGAGTAGAGACAAGACCAGGAATATTTTCCATGGTTGGTGTATCATTTAAAGAACACCCAAGACAGGGGCTGGAGTGATAGCACAGCGGGTAGGGTGTTTGCCTTGCACACGGCTGACACAGGTTCGATTCCCAGCATTCCATATGGTCCCCTGAGCACCGCCAGGAGTGATTCCTCAGTGTATGAACCAGGAGTAACTCCTGTGAATCTCGGGGTGTGACCCAAGAAGTCAAAACTAAAAAAAAATAAAGAACACCCAAGACAAAGCAACAATGCGTTTTCTCTTCTACTGACCGGAGGCCATGCCTGTGGTTAAGATTAGGGTGAAATCGCCTCTCACCTTGACCACTCCATCGAAGCCAGGGATTGTGTTAACCTTCGCATTCTTGGCCAATAATTTGCTTTCAATTTTGTCGCCCATGGCCTGAATGGCATGCGTGTCGGGCCCGATGAAAGTGACATCTTCCGCTGCCTGTGGAGAAAGGCAAGAACAACACACGTGCTTGAGTCCCACTTTGCACAGAAAGCAAAAGCCTTATGCAGCTTTACTAATTATTCACACACCCTGAACTGGAAATGAAGCATCTTTACCAACCCCTTTAAAAATCCCTGCAGGCCTAGAGGGATAGTACAGCAAGAAGGCCACTGGCCTTGCATGTGGCCAACCCAGGTTCCATCCCTGGCATCCCATATGGCCCCCTGAGCAATACCAGGAGTCCTTCCTGAGCACAGAGCCAGGAGTAAACCTTAAGCACTGGCAGGTTTGGCCCCAAAACAAAAGCAAACAAACAAAAACCTAGGAAAATAAGACAGAAAGGCACACCGAACCCTAATTCACTTTAGAGGAACCCTCAGACCCACCATTCCCAGTGTCTCCCAGGGCAAAGGGTCATGAGTCTCTTCTGTGGCAACAGACGCTGACAAAGTACTTTGCTTTAGTTCAACGGAAATCAACGAAACCCAGAGAGACCTTCAGCAGTGGACCAGCTGCCTCAAGACAGCAGCCAGGGAGTTCAATCCCAGACCACTGATAATGTGGGTGGCACTGCCACCCAGACACAATGAAAGTACCACCCCTAGCAAGTGTTCTGACTAACGTGTGCAAACACGGCAGCCATGTGCGCGGCCACCAGGAGCACCACAGCCAAGTGGAGGGGCCCTTGGGAGCACCACTGCTAACCGTGCAGTCATCACAGCTGCTGCAGCAGCAGGGGCGGGAGGAGCGGGCTGGCGAGCACCCACACCAGCCCCTACAACACACGGGAACCAGCACTTCCCCCGAGGCTCCATCTCTCTCTGGCCCACAGCAACCCTCCCATCATCCCACTCCACCCGGATCCTACAGCCCCGGAACCTTGGGAGACAGTCAGGCTGAGCCCGCCAGCTCTTTCCAGACCCTCACTCGCCGTGCTCAAATGGAGGAGCGTCTGCCACACATGCTGCTCCAAATGCCACCGTGTCAGGCAGCTACAGCCGAGCCATGGGTACACCTACATGGAGAGCTGGAGGAAGGATGGAAACACAGCCACCAAGCTACAACATGACGGTCCAGCAAAAGTTAGCACTGACAGGAGGAGCCCAGTGATTGACCACTTTTCTCCCACGTGCCCTCATTTGAGGAAAGTTAGCTGCCCGGAACTGCAATTCACGTTGGGCATCAGCGATTATTCTGTCCCGTCCCCCAGAAGCCAAGCACCACAGTCATCTGAGTGACCATATGTTTCCAGGGGCTCATCTCCCTTTTACCCAGCTGTGCTGGTATCACTCCTTGGGCGAAGTAATTAAGTACAACTGAAGCAAAAGGAGAAGGTGGTATCCCGGCTCCTCCCCTTTCAGAATTCTCTGACCGAAAGATCGCCGGGGTCAGGGTGGGACGGTAGGGACAGGGGGACTGCAGAGGATAGAGTAGGTTTCAAAGGCCTCCGATTTCTTTGTTAGGTTTTGGTTTGGTTTGATTTGGGAGGCCACACCTGGCCATGCTCAGGGGTTCCTCCTGTTGATGAACTCGGGAATCACTCCTGGCGGTGCTCAGGGGCCCAGATGGGATGCCGGGGATGCAAGGCAAACGCCTTCCCGGCTATCCTTATTGCTCCAGACCCGGGGCCTCAAGTTTTAACCAGTCTTTTTTGAGTGCTTTTGAAATGAATGTTAGAACTTATGCACCTGCTGACATTCTCTGCTAATCACGGCCCCTAATCACTTAACATGAGAGCAATTTAAATTCGATTCTAAAAATATGCTTCTCACAGTCCCTTTAAATTCAACACAAATGGCAAATATAATACTTGAATGCAGCTAAATGTCTTGTGATGGTGAGGAAAAAGTGGGCAATTTTCATGCTCACTGGAAAACATTTCAACAGTGGAAGATACAGAGCAAAGAAGTTATGAAAAGCTACCGTATCACAAAACTTAGGGTTGCAATTACAGCTCTCTAAGATCCCTTTCATTTTCTGAATCCTGTGATTTTATAGTTCCAGTAAGATTTTAATAGGAGTAAGGAAATGGGCTAGGGTTAGGGAAGTAATGAGATTTAATTTACAATCGGCTTTATGTTGGGCATAAAGGTCAGAAATAATCATGGCTTGTAAGAATCCAAACGTATGTAACATCATTTGTTCTCAGAAATACCAGCATGGTTAGTAAACCGCTGTACTTTGAATTGCTGCTTTTCTCTTTTAATTGTAGCCTTTCCGGTCAGCGTGGGAGAACAAGAACAGGAGACAGCACTGCCAGAGGGCCACCGACACGCCTGCCCCAAGGACCCGGACTCTGGGCTCGAACAGAACCCTTAAGGCAGGGAAAAAGGCCCGTTTGAGGGCTGGTACCATGAAGACGGCGCTTGGCAGGAATCGAGTGTGCAGGGAGCTGGGTGCACGCGAGCACATGGAGCAGAGGCCCAGGAACGACGGGGGTGGCAACGAGGCATGAAAGAAAAGGAGAGATCAGACAGTGCCAGGCTGATAGCACGGCGGGCAGGGTGCTGGCCTCCTGCCGACCCGGGTCTGATGCCAGGACCCCATTAAGTGCCCCAAGTCCTGCTGGGAGTGGTCCCTGAGAGCAGAGCAGGAGGAGCCCTGAGCAGGGCCAGGGTGGGTCGAAAACAAACACAAAACAAAGGACAGGAGACGTGAGGAGGCCAAGGGCTTTGGAAGGCACCACATCCAGCGATCTTATCCCAAACTTCCCAACACGTGCCAGGTGGGGTGACCGCGTGCCTGCCGGGACCTCTGCACCAAGAGAACAGGCAGGGAAACAAGACTGAAATAGAAACTCAGCAACATGAGTGTCCAAGGCAAAATTCCGTACACCATTTTTGTGCGGGGGGGGGGGGGGGGGGGAATGAAGACTGAAATAAAATCATTGAAGAGAGAGAGATGCAAGAGAATGAATGCTCGCCAGGGACCTGAGATCAAAACTGCGGCCCGCTGTTTCAGATCCGGCTGGAAACCAGGCAGAAAGAAGCAGCAGAAAACAGGGAAGGAATGAAAACTAGACGTGCTCGGAAATGAGGTCGCAGGCCTTGGTGCAGAACTGAAACAATAAAACTCATCTCAGAAGCAAAGGGTCACTTGGGGCCGGAGCGACAGGACAGCGGGGAGGGCTTTTGCCTTGCATGCAGCCAACTGGGGTTCGACCCCCGGCATCCCATATGGTCCCCCAAGCACCGCCGGGAGTAATTCCTGAGCACAGAGCCAGGAAGAAGCCCTGAGCACTGCCCAGTGTAGCCCCAAAGCAAAACTAAGCTTAAAAGAAACAAAGGGTAACTAAAGGGAACATACATAACATGTTACATGTTACATATATATATAGTAACCTATATCACATGTAACATGTAATATAGGTTGTATAATCTGTGCTCTTATGTATGTACATGCACGTATATACATGCTTTATCATATACATGATAATGTCCATATATCTTCATGTGTGATAATACCTCAAGAAATGGACGGTTAAAAGGAAGAAACTTCTTAAAATGTTAAATACCAAAACAAAAAGCTAAGAAAAAAATACCAGTGTGGGGCTGGAGCAATAGCACAGCAGGTCGGGCTCTTGCCCTACATGCAGCCAACCGGGGTTCGATTCTCAGCATTCCCTGGGCATCGTCAGGAGTGATCCCTGAGCACAGAGCCAGGAGTAATCCCTGAGCACTGCTGGAGGTGACTCCTCCCAAAAAAGAAAGAAAAATCACAAATGCTAAAAATAATGGCGACTATCCAATATATGAATCAAAGAAGTCGTTGAAAAAAATAATAAAACTAAGAAAAATAGCAAAAACTGTCATTCAAGATAACTTAAAAACTGAAAATTCTATAAATGATTACCTGGAGGTTGGAAAGAAGCATAGGGTAGGAACACTTGCCTTGTGGCTGACCCAAGCTCTCCTGAGTGATCCCTGAACATTACTGGGTACACCCCCAAAGCCCCAAAGAGGGGGCCCTAGCTGAGCCATCCTGAGAAATCCAACTCTAATTGACTGGGGTATGTTCTAGCAACTTTCCTTTAAGTGATTTCTACCAATGAGAAGCCAGAATTACTAGTAATCTTTCCAGATTTTTTTAAAAAATTAAAAGACAAGCCAGATTTAAAGCCGCACAACACTGACTTGTAGGTGGAAAGAACAGAGAAAAATCAAATGGTAACCGGGAGGTTCAAAGTACTGTGCGGGGTCGGGAAGGAAGGGCAGTGGCTGGTTCTAAGAAAGTTCACAATCAAAACACAGAGCGACAGTAAGACGGAGGCCAAGGTGCAGCTCGCTGCACACTTAGCAGCAAAGAGGCACCAAACCTCCTAGAAGCCGTGAGTACCGACTGCAACCCAAGAATCCAGGCCCAAAACCCCACTCGCGAGCAGTCTCGTGTGCACTCCACTCCCCGTGAGAGTCAGTTCCCACAGAGACGGCAACAGGCATGCGCAGGGAGAACCAAAGAGAAGCTCTGGGTCCTGAGTCTTCTGAGCCCACTATGCACAGGGGGCTCATGGTTCCGTTTGGGTTGTTTGTTTGGGTTTGGGGGGTGGTCACACCCAGTGATGCCCAGGGGTTAATCCTGGATCTGCATTTAGGAACTTCTCCTGGTAGGCTCCGGGGACCATACCTAGGGGGTGTCAGGGATCAAAACCTGGTCAGCCACGTGCAAGGCAAATGCCCGACCTCCTGTACTATTGCTCCAGCTTTTTTTTTTATCTCATTAAAATATAGACTAAAAAATGAAAACTATACACCATAAATGCACTGATGTATATATTTACAATAAACATGTCTATATTAGGTTTTATAGTCTCTGGATCTTGGCCGTTGATGGGATTACACAGTGCCGTGGGCAGTTGGAGGGTGTAATGCCTACATACTGGAAGATGGGTGTAATGCCTACATACTGGGTGGACGAGGCCCCAGTCCCGATCCGAGCATGCTTGGAGATCTAAGCCCCTGGTCCCGCACACCTGGGTTCCTCTGCCAGCTCCTTCATGT